TCGATTGCTTTAGTCGAGGGTTTATTCACTGCTTTGTATCGATTGAGAACCTCATTCGATAGAGGGAGTCTAGTTCAGAACGCCTTGATCGATTGTTCTAGAGAAGGATACGTCCCTCTAGGCAATTGACTCAAGAGGGCCTTGTTCCTTTAGTCGAGACTCAAGGTCTAGTCAAGGATTCTCCGCATTGTGAATGAAGTGAAACAAGTTAGAAATCATCGATCGTTAATCTGGCTAGTGGCTAGGGGGAATCATACCTAAGTGAGTTCCCAACCTGTAATTAGATTAACTTTAACTGTAGTTTGCTAGAGTAGTTTTAGTTCTTTCATCTTAATCTGTTTTGCTAGATAATGAACTGAAGCTGAGTAATAGTAACTCTAGAGACCCGTGGATTCGATATTTATTACTTGAGCCACTATACTGCAGTCCCTTTCATTGGTTACACTTGGCCATTGTTAGGAGTTGTGTTTTAGCGAGTCAATGGGCAACGAGTACAGCCTACTCATCGCCAAGATCATCCAAGTTGATGTCGATGTCGGCCATGAAGGCGTCATCATCAGCAGCGCCATCAACACCATCGTCACCGTCAGCTGGGGCATGGGATTCCACACGGCAGTGTAAATTGCACTTTTGGCCGTGTGGAATTTGCCGAGAGCTCACACGAAAAACAAAAGGAAAAAAAGTAAGAAAATGCAAACCTCGGTGGGGTTGCCTCCCCACAAGCGCTTCTTTACCGTCTTTTAGCTGGACGCCAGTATGGATGCTCAGGGAAGTGTAGGATCAGGTGCCTTCAAGAGCGGATCCACATCGCTCTTGAGGTACAGCTTCAAATGGTGGCCATGCACGCGACGAATGTGGCCACCAGCATTCGCCAGCTCGACTTGGCCATCCGGCAAGATGCAAGCGAGTGAATACTCGGATGGCCAAGGTGGGGGCGGGACCAGCTCGTAGTGGTCTCCGGCTTTCTTTCGAGCAGGCTTAGCTGCCTGCAGTTTCGGCCGCCACTCCTCCTTGATCTGTACTTTTGGTGATGGAGTGGTCAGGAGTGGCGGCGAAGGTGTGGGAGGCGGGTCCTGCAAAATAGGCAACACAGAAGGATACACGACAGACTCGTGCTCCTGGTGAGATACAACATGCAGAGGTAACGGAGCAGGTAGAGTGTTAGCAACTGAAAACGTTATTCGCTCCTCGCCATCCCTCAAAACTATGGTCCCATCATGCACATCTATGAGAGCCTTGGCGGTGGCCAGAAAAGGCCTTCCCAGTATAAGGGGCACTTCTGTGTCCTCATTGATGTCCAAGACAACAAAATCCACAGGATATTTGAATTTGCCAACCTTAACCAGAAGGTCTTCCACTATGCCCCTAGGATGCACTACAGATCGGTCAGCTAGTTGAAGGGTCATCCTAGTAGCACGGGGTTCACCTAGGCCTAGTTTCTTGAACAATTTATATGGTATAACATTGATACTAGCACCTAAATCCGCCAAGGACCTCTCTACATGCAATTTATCAATAGAGCACGGGATAGTAAAACTACCTGGGTCCTTCTTCTTCTGCGGAAGCTTGTTCTGTAGAATAGCCGAGCACTCCTCGCTGAGCTCCATAGTGGCCAGCTCACTCAGCTTCTGCTTCTTTGAGAGAAGCTCTTTCAGAAACTTCGCATACTTAGGCATTTGAGATAGTGCCTCCAGGAAAGGCACTTGGACATTCAGCTTCTTAAGCATGGCCATGAAGTTTTCAAATTCTGCCTCCAGCCTGTCTTTGTGCAACCGCGTAGGGAAGGGAAGTTTCGGGATATATTCCTTCACTACCGGTTGAGATTTAGGTGCAGGCACCTCAACCTCCTTTTCTGCTTCTTCTTTAACTGCTGGAGACACTAAGACAGGGGTCTCTCTCTCCTGTTCCCGAGCAGGGGGATCAACAGTCATCTTGCCACTCCTGGTCATGATGGCATTGCAGTGCTCATTCGGTGTCGGCGGATGAGGGATGGTCTGCCCGGGTAGAGTACCGGGAGCCCTTTGAGCCACTGCCTGAGCCACGCTTCCCAGCTGGGTCTGGATATCCTGCAAGACAGCCTGTGTGTTCCTCTAACCAGCTTCAAGAGCCAGGAATTTTCCCGAGGCCTTCTCCATGAACTGCTCAATGGTGTTGAATTTCTAAGCACTAGAACTGGCGAGAGAACCCACCAAGTCCCTCAGTTCAGCCATCTGATCATTCTGCACTGGGGCAGCAGGGGCTGCACCTGGCTGCTGGAAAGGTCGCGGCTGTGAATGAGCAGCATGCCCTTGCATGGGCTGATAAAGGGACTGTTGTTGCTGCTGGAATTGCCCCTGCCTGGGCTGATATGGTGGCCTCTGGAAGCCCGGTGGTCCCTGGGGGACTGGTGGTCTGGAATTTGCCCCACCCCAGGAGAAGTTAGGATGCTGGCGCCACCCCTCGTTGTAAGTGTTGCTGTAGGGGTCGTTGCGCCTGACATTATTGATGAAGTTCACCTGTTCCTGGGGTGTGGTTGATTCCTTCATCGCCTGGCAATATTCCACCGTGTGATGGGTGCTCTCGCACCAGTGGCAGAGCATCGCCTGCTGCTGTCCGGTCCCTGGAATCATCCAGGAACGATCGATAGCTGAAACCAGCTTCGATACTACCTGCACCAAATCAGAAGGATGGGCTCCCACAGAATGTACACCTCGGCTGGGTGCTCTCCTCGACCTCCTGGCAGTGCCCCAGTCGTACCCGTTCTCCGCCATCTCCTCAAAGAGTTGATTCAGCTGTGGCGGGGTTTTGGTCAGCATGTTCCCGCCACAAACCGAATCGATCAGCTGCTTGTCCTCCGGGAAGAGGGCGTGATAGAAGGTGCCCACCTTGAAGGCATCATTGAAGCCATGATTTGGACACCTCAGAAAGAGACTGTTGTATCTCTCCCAAGCATCCCTGATAGTCTCATCCTCATCCTGAGCAAAATGTGTAATTTGCTTCTGCAGGTCAGCTGTCTTGGATGGAGGATGGTAGCGGGTAAGGAACTTGTCCTCCAGGTTGGCGAACGTGGTGATAGAGCCCGGAGGTCGAGTTTCTAGCCACTCCTTGGCCTGCCACTCCAGAGTGAATGGGAATTACCTTAGCTGGATGGCATCTGCTGGTACCCCATTAATCTTGATTCCATCGATGAGCTCGTGGAATCGCCTGAGATGTGATCGGGGGCACTCTCCCTCCTTACCACGGAACACTACTGAACCGCGCAGCATAGTGATTACTGATGTGCTCACCTCAAACTTGTTGGCTGGGACATGAGGGTGTTGAATGGGTGACCTCATATCCGCAGCTCTAGCGGTCCAGTAGGATCCCATGGTCTGCTCCTCTGGGTTGATCACATCGTGGTTCTGAGGATCAGCCATCTCTCCTTCTTCTTCTTCTCCGATCTGCAGCTGTGATAGCGCCTTCTCCGCAGCCAGTCGCGCCTTTAGAGCCCGCTTGGAGTTCCTGCAGGTTCGTTCAAGCTCCTGGTCTAATGGTAGTAGATCTCCCGACTGGCTACGGGTCATGCACTACCTGCACACAGTCAGCAGAAACAACCCGTGAAGGCACACAGGTGGAAGAGATAAAATGCAGTAAATAAAAAACTAGAGTAACAAATTCTCACGTTTCCCCAATAACCTAGAGGGTTCCCCGGCAACGGCGCCAAAAACTTGACACGCCAAAACACAACACCAAACTGCGACCAAGTGTAATCGCTGTCCGGGAATGCAGTAACAGGCAAGTTATATTTAGGGATGACAATGGGGCGGGTTTGGGGCGGGTTTGCTTAAACCATCCCCATCCCGCTTTCAAATATCCAAACCCATACCCGCCCCATACCCATGCGGGGGAAGATTTTGCAAACCCATCCCCATACCCGTGGGTTTCGGGTACCTATGGGTAATACCCGCCCCGTACATCCAACATTATAATACATAAAATTTTACATGTAAATTTTCAATTATAACATTATAGGCACCTATTATATCATGAAGTCGAGAAAGTGACAATAATTCTTAATATGGTACAAAGCATTTTATCCGAAATCCATAAAATAGAGTACTACAATGTAATCCAAATCATTATTTATCTGACTCTAATACATATACTAACCAATAATGAACTAATATAATCTTGCTAACACGAGGGAAAAGTGAAAGAGTGAAGAGAGAGTTGAGGAAAATGAATTAGGTTTTGATTTGGGTGATCACTCAATTGCATTTCTACTAATTATTTTTTTATTTACCCTCACTATCATTGATAGATTACTATTTCATCCATGTATTTTTTATATGTGAACAAATATTCTTGGTTGGGCGGGTATGGGTATGGGTATGGGGCGGGGGAGGCTAAAACCATACCCGCCCCATACCCATCAAACATTTTGCGGGTTTTACCCATACCCGCCCCATACCCAGTCAAAGCGGGGATTCCCCGCGTTGACTGGGTCGGGGGCGGTCGGATACCCGTGGGCATGGGTTTGATTGCCATCCCTAGTTATATTATCAACCCGGGGTCTAGATCTACTGCTTACTCCGTGATTCTCTGTTATCTAGCAAACTAATTCGAGTGATTGTTGTTTAAAGCTAAAGCAGTAAGAAAGCAAGTAATAATTCGATTTTCAAAGTCAGGAAAGAGTCACTCGGGATTGAGTCCCCCTAGCCCCTTAGTTAGGTCCAACTGTAATTCCCCTGGGTTGATTCACTGTTGATTAGACTGCGGAAGTTCTTTGACAGTAGCTTGGAATCTCTTAAGCTGACCAAGCCCTCTCAGTCTAACTACCCGGCAGACGACTAGTCTTCACCGGGATAGAAAGCTGAGGCTATGAACACAGAACTCCACTACTGGAATTGAATTCCAGTACAAAGCAGTAAACTGGCTAACTCTCGTATAGCCAATCTCCTACTATCGAATGAAGAGGCTCTAACAACCTAATCAGATTCTATCTATCTCAGGTTGCAGCAGAAATCGAGAAAAGCTGATCAGACTCAAATCAATTCAATAAACATGCATCATTCGATTAAAATCAAACAGTAATATCATCCCAAGTTATTACAATCAAATCCCTAACACAAGGAACTAGGGTTCTTCATACCCAAGTGAGAGAAGGGATCTACTCCATAGAGAGAGAAGAGAAAACAGTAATCGGAGTAGTCATACTCATAATGATGAGGAAAATCTGCTCCGGGATGATGGTTTCCACTCCTATGACGATCTCCAAGCTCGATTCGGTGAAACCCAACTCCAAGATAGCTTCTAGGATGTGTTCTTCGCACTTTCTCTCTCTAGGGCTCTGTTTTTTCTCTGAAAATCCGATTCTTCACTTTAGGCTCGAAATTGGCTCAAAACCCAGAATTTCCCGACTCACACGGGCAGGCCACACGGCCGTGCGGCTCACCACTTTGCCCTTGCTAGTCGAAACGCAGCGCATCAATTAGTCGATCTTCAGCCATCTCACACGGCCAGGATTGCACGGCCGTGTGAGGATCCCAGTCTGCCCGTGTTTGCTCTCGGTGGAAATCACACGACCAGGGTTGCCCCTTGCACGGCCGTGTGACCTCCAGGTCTGCCCGTGCGGATTCCTTGAAGCCTCGCCATTCGTCCGGTCTTCGTCCAATCAACCCCAGACTCGCTCCGAAGCCTTCATTCACGTACTAGGACCTGAAATATCACAAACAAGCACAACCTAGCGTGAAATCGGCCTAAAACACGAGAATCAACACTTCAAACGGTGTAAGAACGGGGGTAAAAACATGTGTACATAACGGTCTATCAGAAACCCATATCTACCAGGACCATTTTAGCATCACGAATGGGGTACACAGGCAATTAAATTTAGCCCTTAGAGCATTTGCAAGTCGATAAAAGGCTACGCTCGTTAACAGATCAGGAGGCAAGTTCGACATTATATGAGATTAAAACCTTGTTCTCAAATTCAAATTCAACAGTCTCCTTAATCTAGTACCCATTTATATGCATCTAGAGAATACATATGAATAAGTGACCCTCATACCTCAGTGCAAAGGCAGAACTCCGGGCACTTACTTTCACCGCACCTTCCACTGCAAGGCATGTAACCAGCACAACAAACATACCTTGACATGTCATTGTAAAGTGCCCGCTTGCGGAGCAAGTAAGATACACAAGGCCCACTGCAAGAGACAAATCAATGTGTAATTAGCAACAACTGAAGCTTAAAGACACTCCCAAAACGTCACTAAAACCACATGTAAGCTTTGCAGAGACAAGCAATAAAATTAAGATAGAAAAACACGACTTTAACTAGCAGAGTTTACACAAGAGAGAACAAAACATTTTTGAATTCAGTGTGTACAACAAAACTAAGAAATTTATCTTGAAAAATTCAGTGACCATAGCCTCACTCACAAAGCTCAATGTGAAATCTACTTTGTAAGCAACAAGGATGTGCTATTAAACACCTGTAAACCAAGACGAAAAAAGTTCCATCTGACCATCTCAGAAGCAAATTGTTGAACCTAAGCCACTGTTGCACTGTGCTGACCCCATTGCAAAGCATATTTCACTGAACAATCTAAATACAGTGGCAACAGCTTGAAATTTGTAATGGCTAGCTCTGAATTATTACTTCCTAGGAACCAATATTTCTGCAGAATCTGGCTAGTTGGTGCAGCTTTAAACCGTGGGGACAAACCTTTGGCTAGCATAAGGCTTACAACAAGAACCAATTCAAGCGACAAAGTATCATAAATCTCTGGCTGACAGAGGAAACACACAAACCAATCTCAAAGTTCATACCTTGAGAACAGAGAAAATTGAACAGATTCATACATTGTAGGACGAAGTCAACCCATCCTGACTACAGCAAACGAAGAAACCCTCGACATTCCCATGTAAAAGAAAGCTTAATTTGCAAGGGAACAGAAATGTGTCACAAATTCCAAGAAGCTAGATCTGGAACTCGAAGAAGCTAAAGATCGGAAGAGGTACTTACCACCAGAGAGCAAGGCAGCAATCTGAAAGTCGCGAAAACGGAACGACCCCAATCAACTGCAGCAACAACCCAATATCAGACATGGGCGAAAAGAATTCACAAAAGAACCACAAAGGAAAGGATGAATATGAGAAGAAGCTCACATGGAGTGTCAGCCTGAATGGTGTGGACAAGATCGTTGTGCCAGAGATTGCGGTAGTTCTGGCGGAGCTGCATCTTGTCCAAATGCGCCTGGGAAGCCATTTCTTGAGTTTCACCGACCCACTGTCAAGAAAAGCTACAGATTTCAGCCTTCGCAAAGGCAGAAACGATCAAGACCCAATTTATATGTAGGGATTCGTTTGAAGAATTGAAGGGTTTGAAGGGCGAATGAATTTGTTACGGCTGAATTTTCTGAGGAAGTTGTCGTCTTGATTGGCTGACACCCTGGGGTTTTTCTTTATTTGTTTCTCTTGAAATTTGAAACCCTTTAAGAACAAGGCAATGTAACGCGGAGCTGACCAATGAGGAAAGGTCTTGAAGGGAAGATGACGACGACTTTTCTACTGTACATTAATCTTTTAAACCAAACCGTATTAATGGAGGAAGACAGCTCAAACTAAAAACAGAAGAATTTCTTCATTGGCTCTCTGTTTCTTCCTTGGCCAATGGCCATATTAATATTTTTGGATCTTGACCTAGTGACTAGTGAGCATGCTAAAGCGTTAGACTACTCGGAAAGGTGGGTTTTTATCTTTTGGTGGTCATCTTGCATTATGTTTTCCCTATTTCAATGTCTTTTTTCATATGATATTTCAGTGATTGTCATTGCCATAAGAAATTATGGCTGTCATTTCGGTTGTCGGTTAGCGGCTAACCGGTCGGTCTAACCGTTAACCGCCGGTTAGTGGCTAACCGGAAACCGAAAGAATAGAGGGGCGGTCGGTTGGCGGAATGGGTCAGTGGGCGCGCGGTTAGCCGATAAACCGAAGTCGGTTAACCGGCTAACCGACGCTAACCGATCGAGATGAAACGACGTCGTTTTTGCCTACTCTTAAACACACCCATTCCCCCCCCCAACCCTAGCTGCCGCCTTCGTTCTCCCTCAACCCTCACACTCTGCGTCTGCGACTGCAAGACTGCGAATTCCTCCCCGCGTCGACTCCGACTCCAAATTTCAACCCGAACACGGCCTGGTTCGAGTTGAGCGCCTTGAGGGACGCAACCGATGGGTTCGGCCGGGTGAACCTGGTGCTCATATGGATTGGGCTGCATAGTCTTGCTGCTGTAGACGCCATTGTTGTTCTGTTTTTTCTAGGTAGAAGAGAGGAAGGGAGGGAAAGAAGGGTTCATGGCGCATCGAGAATCAATTGGGAAACGCATAGGGAGAATCCAACCAGAGCCATCGAGAGAGAGGGAAACAAAAAACAACACAAGTTGATTTTTCATCAAACAGTTGGAAAATCCCACCACCACAGCCAACTCCGGCGACACCTCGGCGGCGATGGTAATCGATCACGATGAGCGAGAAGAAAGAGAAGGAGAAGAAAATCAGGTGAAAGAGGAATAGGGCTATCATTTAGGCGATTTTAGGTTTTCCTCCCTTCTTGTCCGGTCGGTTAAGCAGCTAAACCGAACTGGCCTTCACATTTTCGGTTGCCCAGGTTAAACCGCACCTAAACTGAAAACCGGCCGGTCGGTTTGCGGCTAACCGGGACTGATGGGACAGTCGGTCGACGGTAGGGTTGGTCATGTCTTGTTTTAACCGAAAATCGAGATTTCGGTTTTTGGTTAAACCGAAACCGACCTGCTGCCACCCCTATAAGAAATCGAAGTATGAATCTTGTATTATTTAATTATCCGTCGTGCCATTTAAAGTGAGTCAAATTTGAGGATGGAGAATTTTAACGCACTAATTTTTGTTATGTGGCTCACACTCTCTCTGCACTTTGATGGACTTGATTGGACCAACTATGAATAGCGTGTGTATACTTATTAGAGGTGGCAATTTGAATCCAATATATAAAAAAAATGTCCAACAAATCCAATCTATTTAATTTAAATGGATTGGATCCATAGATTGATGTAAATTTATGGTTTAATACTTATATTCTATATATTTTACAATTTTGTATCAGAAAACTTATTGAAAATTCGTTGTCTTACTCCATCATTTTTAAGAAACACCCTATATTTTTTTTTATTATAAAATGTAGCTATAAAATTACATTTTGGCATCTTTATTTTTTAAGAATGACATTTTAATACTAAATTTTCAAAATTATCAAAATATTATATGTCAGTTAAATTCAGTCGATAAATATATTAATCTAATTTATGAATCCATAAAATCTCCAATCCACTTATATGAATGCTATTTACCATTACTAGCTTTTGACCCAGTCGGAATTTTAATTTTTAATGGGCATAACAAAATAATTGTTATATAAGTTTTTTCTACTCTATAGTTCAATATTTTTAATCTCAATAGTTATTGTCAAAGTTAACTTAGATCATAAAAGCTAAATTAATGTTTGAACATAATTTTTTTTTTTTTTTTTTTGCAAAAAGGGAGGCAAAAGCCGAGAACGGAAGTACAAGGGGAGAGCTAAGAAATAGAGTGAGAAGGCGTCACAACCCGACGCTCGAAAGAAATGCCCATGGCGTCTTCTCTAATAAGGGAGACTAGCCCAGGGGGCGGGGTTGCAAATTCATGCATACCGTAGGGATAGACGAGACTGTGCTTCGAGAGCCAGTCCGCGACTCTATTCCCTTCCCGGTATACATGAACATGAGAGATGCTCACCAGCCAATCTTGGCTAATCTTCCTCCGGATCGCAGACAACAAAGTCGCATGAGGGTGAACAGGGTCTTGACGGTTGTTGATAAGCTGGATCGTAAGCTGGGAATCAAACTCAAGTCGGACGGCACGACATCCCACTCTCCAGGCCAGATCAAGTCCATGGAAGATGGCCCACAACTCAGCCAGAGCGGCGGTCGATGTCCCAATATTCACAGTGAAGCCAGAGATCCACTTGCCAGTCCAATCACGGAGGACTCCTCCCGCTCCTGCCGCACCGGGATTCCCGTTGGAAGCCCCATCAACGTTAAGAGCTACCCAACCATTAGCCGGAGGAGTCCAACCAATCATGGCCATAGTCCGGGCCACCATCTGACCTCTGAGATTGGGGAGGGGGGAAGGAGCTTGCCAGGCCTCATACCAAAGCTTGCATTTAGACACAATCGAGAACTCAAGGGAGGGAGGAGAGAGGGCTGAGTTCAAACCTCTAAAGCATAAAGTGCATCTGTTCTTCCAAATCAACCAGGAGGAGACACTGAATAAGGCCGCCCAACTCATGCCCGAGTCCAAGCATTCACTGCTCTTAAGATTATCTCGCAACCAGCTGCTCTGGTCCAGACTGAAAAAACGTTGCTTCAGGGTCGTCGGGATGTGCCGAAGCCAAACATACCTAACAAGGGGGCAGTCCCGAAGAATGTGGAGAATGGACTCGACCTGGTCATCGCAACGCTGAAAGCACTGGTTCTTTGTCACCTTCCTGGAGTAGAGAAGTTCCTTCGTGGCCAATTTCCCCAAAGCCGTCATCCACATGAAGCTCCTGATTCTTTTCGGCACCGGAAGGCTCCAAATGATCTTCCACAGCTTCTCGTCTGGGTCTGCCGGTCGCTGGTTCAGTAGGGAGTACGCCGGCTTAGCCGAAAACTTCCCATCCGACGATGCAGACCAAAAAATGGTGTCCTCTTCCAACGCCATCTTGTCAACCCCTATGCTGAGAATCCTCTAAAAAATATCGCTCTGAAGGAGATCCATGAACAAGTCCGTCCGCCAGGCTCCATTATCCTCCCCTAGTCAGATGAATGGGTTTCCAGCTCTTGTTATTCACTGCCTCATCAATCAAGTGGGATAGACGTTCCATGCACAAAACAAAAAGGTAGGGAGAGAGAGGGACTCCCTGGCGGACTCCCCGAGTTGGAAGCAGCGGTTGTGAAAGCTCCCCATTCCATAGGATTCTCATCCGATTCTGCTCCACACAGTACATGATACAATTAATCCACGAACTAGGAAGCCCCACTTCTTTGAGAGTGTCACGAAGAAAGTCCCATCTCAACATATCATATGCCTTCTTTAGATCAATCTTGAGGATGATCCCTCCCTTCTTCCCTTTCCTCTTCTCTAGTGTATGGATGACTTCCTGCACCACGATGATATTGTCTGTAGTCTGTCTCCCCGGGATGAAACTGCTTTGCCTTGGTGAGACTAGCTTCCTCATGATCGGCTTCAGCCTGCTAGTCATTGCCTTCGTGATGGCCTTCAGACTGACATTGTTGAGGGATATAGGTCGAAGCTGAGAAACGAACTCCGGAATGTCCACCTTCGGGATGAGTACCACTGTAGATTCCGAGACGGCTTCCGTGAGAGTACCTGCCGAGAAGAAGTTAAGAGCCAAATCTGTTAGAGCCTTACCTACCACCCGCCACATTTGTTGATAAAAGACCGCCTGGAAACCATCTGGTCCAGGAGCTTGGTACGGTTTCATATAAAAAATGGCCCTGTGGATATCGGTGATGGTAAAGGGTCGCAGAAGCATCATCAACTCTGCATGTTCAATTCTGGGAAAAACGTTTTTGGGCAATCTGTCCTCGTAGCCGGAATCAACCCAATTGCCATTGGCATCCCGGAGCGTCAAGATTTTGTTGCGCCGTCTCCGCCTATTGACCTCCTGATGGAAGTAGGCTGTGTTCCTCTCCCCGAATTTCACCCACTGCTCCCTTGACCGCTTAAACCAGAAAAGCTCTTCTTGCTCGAGCACTTTATTGAGCTCCGTCTCCAACTTAGCATGGAGCTTGGCCAAAGCCGGAGTGAAGGAACTGGAAAGTTGGACTTCAACTCCTTGCAATCTGGCTAACAGTCTTTTTTTCTTTTGCAGGATGTTACCAAACACATTCACACTCCACTCCCTGAGTTTCTCTGCCAAAGAGCCAAGAGCCTGAGGTAGCTGACCTTCTTCTTCCCAAGCACCTGCAACAAAATTTTGGAAGTCACTATGGGTAAGCCACGCAGCCTCAAATCTAAAAGAACGAGGATGAGAAGGAGACGGCTCCTGGGTAGCCACAGTGGTGAGGATAGGGTGGTGGTCGGACTGAAGGCGGGGAAGATGTGACACCGTAGTGTTGGGGAAGAATGCATTCCACTGCAGATTGCAAAGACTTCTATCCAGCCTACTAGCCTTGTGGGAATGGATTGTCTCTCCCCTTGTCCACGTGTATCTCGAACTCGAAAATCCCAAATCAATAAGCTCGACACTGTTGATCCTCTCGTTGAACTTCCGGCACCTCCTAGCAGTTGCCGTCGAGGATGGCCCTGTCTTCTCCTCGAGGCAACGAATGGCGTTGAAGTCCCCCGTGAGAATCCATGGTTCATCTACCTTCTCACTCTGCTCGATAAGGTTATCCCAGAGATACCGTTGTAAATACTGACGGGGAGAGGAATAGATCGCGGTCAGCACCCAGGAACGACACCCATTCTGACGAACACGGACGGAAATGTGTTGATTGCATACCGAAAGGAGTTCCATAGAGAATCTCCCGCCATCCCAACAAATCCAAATCCCGCCTTTGCGCCCATTAGCATCCACTCTAATGGATTTGAGGAAACCAATTTTGTCACAAACTGAATCAGCCGAGTTCCCGCTGATTTGGGGTTCCTAGAGAATCACGAAGTCCGGCCGATGCTGGCGGATGCTGAGTTTCAAAGCTCTAGAAAAATCTTTGCTACCTGCGCCACCTACATTCCAAGAGAGAATTTTGATTATGGGTTTAAAAGACATGGAAAAATAAAGCAAGACAGGAAGGAAGAAAGGCGAGAAAAGAGCAGAGTCGCAAGCCGAGGGCGAATGTCGAAGAGCGGAAGCGGAGCACCAATTAGACCGCTGGGAGAGACGGCTCTCCAGTTGGTTCTCCGTGGCTCATATCCAGGACCAAGGCGTCCACAGAATCCTTCACCGTCGGGGTTTTCATAGGAAGATGTGCCGCCTCCGTCCAGGGAGATATCTCCTCAAGAGTGAGCGAGGCCATCCGGGTCCTCGATTTTGACTTCTTCTCTTTCATCGGCGACCACAGCTGCAGCGGACGGATAGGGTTGAGCTTCGCAGGAGACCCTTTCTTCATTCGCCCCTTTGAATTCTTCCTTCCCTTCGTCCTGTTCGCTGTTGACGGAGAGGCATGGTCTGCCCGACGGGGAGACGCTTCATTTTGCGGAGGAACTTGCACCACTTCCATCACTGTCCCATTTAGGCCCCTGGTCACCAAAGTTGGGGGAGGGGTGAAGGAGGTGGAGGGTTTGGCACCTTGGGCCTGAGGCCCAGCTATAGTGGCTCCATTAGGCCCACTAGTCGGAATCAGGGGAGATTCAGAATGCATAACCGACGTGGACGCCTTCAGAGCATCCGATTTGGGCTTGAGCCCTTTTTTAGTCACAGGTCCCACCGATGGGCCTGGTCCAAGAAGCCCCTTTCTTGCTGGTGGCTCCTCCTCCCTCATAATGCCTTTACCATTCCTTTTCTCCGTCCCATTTTGAATTTCTCCATTCCCTTTCCTTTCTTGACCCGAAGACCGTTGGCGAGGAGGCGAGCTTTGTTGGTCCAGAAAAGGTAAGGAATCCCTCGGCTCTTTACTTTTCGTTCCATTCTTTCCATTTTTGGGGATGATCGCCTGAATTGTGGCCCCCGAATCTCTTTGCTTTCCTTTGTTAATTGGCTCCCGCTGATTCCGCCGTCCTTTACGCGAGACTAGCATCCATGGCCCGAAACCTGCATTAGTCTCCGACGTCCCCTCCGGAGAGAGGTCTTGCTTATCCCCGCCGGCGGACCCAATTAACTCCGGGACCGACACTGGTCGGAGCAGGGGGCAAGCAGTAGAAGCATGGCTGATCTTCCCGCATTCGAAACAAACGACAGGTAGATTCTCATAAACAACCGGCTGCCAATCATCATCTAACCATATTCTTGGAACAAGAGGCTTGGAGATATCCACTTCTACAGCGAGACGAACGAACTTCGCCCTTTGTTGAGTAAGGGTGTGGTAATCCAGTTTGATCGTGCGTGCGATCAGATTCCCCAGGCTAGTTAGAACCTCTTTGTGGTAAAAATGAATTTTGAGCTCAGGTAGATGGACACAAACTATCATCGTCTTTGGGAGAGGATCTGACACTTTGAAACGAGGCGTCAACCGTTGAACTGCGATGTAATGATCAAAAATCATCCAGGGACCATCCGTGAGAGCTTTAAAATAGTCTTGTTCGTTGCTAAGTTTCACCAAGTAACAAGCTTCATCGAGATCCCTAATTTCCATTGCCCCTGTTGGTCGCCATAAAGCTCTGAGGCGAGAGCACAGGGTATGAAAACCAATTTTGATACCTAGCAGACGAACCACCAGAGTGCGGTGCCAAGGGGCGCATAACCTGTTCTTGAACTCCGACAAAATACTCAAGGCCGGTTCACCATTACGCTCTCCGGGAATTAAATCATGTTCGCCGACCGGAGTCCATTGAATCGCCAACGGTTGTGACGTCGGGACGAGTTGCCCACCTGTGAGCGCACTGGCGTAGGAAAAGGGGTGTGTCTGCACCGTCAAGGCATGAGGAGGCGGTGAATTCGTGAGCGTCATTTGATTACTGGCGTTAGCATTTGTCTCTGCTGCGGCTGAGATCGCCCCCAAAACGGCGTTGAGACAAGAGTTGAGGAAAATGAGTTAAACGAAGTACTCTGGCGAGCGACAGATGTATGGAAATTGCTCTTGCTCAACCAATAAGGGTCAACCGCGCATAAAAACTGTAGTTTGGAACCCCAGCTAAGTGTGGAAAAAATTTGAAGAAAAAAAGGGAAAACCATAAGAAAAAGGGGTTCCAACGAATGAAGTAAGATGGGAAGAGCACCCGATAAGGAGAGTCCTTGTTTTTTGTGTTATGTGAGTCTCTTTGTCTATGAATTGTCTGTCCTAGGTCCACTACTTCACATGATTCTGGCTTGAGTCTAGTACTTGCATTGAGAGAAATAGGGCATGCGTCTTAGCAAAGTGGTTGACTTCGCAAGTTGCTAAATGACCTAGGAAGTCCTTTATCGACGATCGGGGTTGCATGTTGCTGTAAAGGTCTAGAGATTTGCATTGGTTTGAGTCAAATTTGATTGGGGACAAGAAAACGGTTAAGTATGGGGGAATTTGATAATGTTGTATTTACACATGTTTGCCCCGTTGTTTCTTAACCATTTTGGCCCGAATTTGTGTTTCCTTGGCCTATTTTACGCTAGGTTGTGCTCTTTTGTCACATTTCAAGTCCTAGTCATTGAATGAAGGTTTAGACACGAGTTTCAGGTCATTTGTAGGACATTTGGCAAAGCTGGAGCAAAACACGATTGTCCCCTGACTAGGACATGGCCGTGTTTCACCTGGGGTACGCCAATGCTTTTTAGTGCGAGAGTGTTCTTGTCTCGAGAGCAGAACATGGGCAAGAACACGCCCGTGCCCACAAGGAGCCGCGCCCGTGGATTTTATGCCGAGGGTTGGATCGTGAAGGCTGATGAAGAATGGAAAGCACATGCAAGACTGGAGAAGAACACTACAATGGTCATCATTGGACACGAACGTGTTTTGAGAAGCGATCGTGTAATCCCCTGCCTCCAACTTAAGTTTTCCACGGTACCTGATCAAAACACGGGCGGACACGGGAAGAACAAAACCGTGTTCCCGACCGTGTTTCGCCCAATGTCGGGTTAAATAGGCAGATACGAACCAAAGTAAGGGGATTTGACTTTTTGGAGCAAAAACAGAGTTCTAGAGAAAGAAAGTGACGAAGAACAAACCCTAAGAGCTATTTGGAGTGGATTTCTCACCATTGAAGCCCATATTGCATCTCTATAAGTGAAGATTGACATCCCAGAGCTGATTATTCCCATCTCTATGAGTATGACTGCTTTGATTTATGTTTTCCTCTCTCTCTCTCTCTCTCTCTCTCTCTATGGAGTAGACCTTTCTCTCACTTTGGTATGAAGAACCCTAGTTCCATGTGTTAGGAATCTTGATTGTAATGACTTTTGGATGATATATTGATTGATTTTTATCGATTGAAGTGTGTTTATTGAGTCAATTGAATTATGATCAACTTCTCTTGATTTCTGCTTCAACATGTGATAAATAGAATCTGATTAGGTTGTTAGAGCTTCTTCAATCGATAGTAGTGAATTGATTGTACGAGAGTCAGTCAATTCACTGCTTTGTACTGGAATCCATTTCCAGTCGTGGAGTTCTGTGTTAATTGCCTTAGCATTCTATCCCGGTGAAGGCTAGTCGTCTGCCGGATAGTCTGTCTAAGAGGGCTTGGTCAGCTTAAGAGATTCCAAACTACTTTCGGATCTTCCGTAGTTTAAATTCAACTTGAACCTAACTAAGGAGCTAGGGGGACTCATCCCCGAGTGACTCTTCTCTTGCTTCAAAAACCGAACAACTTGTTGTTTTCTTTCTGGTTTAGTTAAAATTCACCTAGAACCCGGGTTGACTTTTATTACTTGATCCCACTATACTGCATTTCCATTTTGCGATTACACTTGGTCGCAGTTTGGTGTTGTCGCGTAGCGAGTCATTGATCTTAAAAGAATGATAGAAATCGTTCAAATCAAGATGGCTGAGTTAAAGGGAGAGAATGAATTGGTTAAGTTAGATAGAGATCACCTGCATGATTTATTAGATCATAGGAAGTACTCTTCTTTGTATAGTGATCAAGCGGCTGTATCTAGGAGGATAAATTATCCTATTCGTAAAAACAACTACAAACATAAGCATAACAGGGTGCATAATGACAAGAACTCTAGTAACACAGGTCCTAAGAGTTCTCATCATAATAACCAGGTTGGTCCTGTAAGATGGTTTGCTTGCTTATGACGTGCTCATGTTATTAGCAACTACCACCAGGCCTTTCCTTTGCATTCACGTCTCTGAAACCCAAGGCTCAAACAGATATGGGTTCGAAAGAAATCTAATGTCTAATTTTTCATTTTTTTGGGAGCTATAGATGGCCTTTGGTTTCTCACCGGTGGATGCTCCCACCACTTGATGGGAAAGACATTTTTCTTTTATCTTTATGGAGGTAAGGCTCTTGTTGGTCTAGTTGGTTGATAGATGATCGCTTATGCTTATAATGATCTTTTAGTAGAGTCTTTTGTAGTATCTGCCATTTTGGTTACAGTGTTCGTTTGGCATATCTTTTCTTGCTTTGAACCTCAATTTTATGCATCAGGCTTATTTCGTGTCTTCCTAATCATTTTGATTAGAGGTCTCTTCCAAATTAAAGGAGCATGAACTTTTAATACAGGTTTGCATATGTGTAGTGCATGTGAACCTTCCAAGTAGTTCAATTCAGTTGGAAGTCAGTTTTTTAGTTGCTCTCTACAGTCCTTTTTGTTCTTTGCTGGGTTGAGTCTTGGAATACGATTATGTATACTTTGGTTTAGATGTGACTGTTTGATGAGGAGATTGAAAATTGAGGGGGAGATACTCCTGCTGGTTCTACTGTTTTGTAACGGTATTAGGGGGAGTTTGTTATAACCTCTTTGTTCCACCTCCAAGTTGTTCATCTTCTCAACATGTCAAGGAAAATTGCAATCTTTGGTTTAGGGGGAGATTGTTGGTCGAATTGCCAAGTTATTAAATTTGAAGATTGCAATTCAAGACTAAGATTCCTTATTTAACGAGATTATAAAAGGAAGCAATCAGAAAAGGATAAAGCTTGATTTCGGCAACAAATTGATCTTACCTTCCTTACAAAGAAGAGCTACAACGTCTTTGTTTTTTGGCTATTTATATTACATGTTCTGTACGTAAGTTAGAAAAAAACTTTGTAACGGAAAGCGGTATAGGGCTTTGGGGTTGTGCAGGGTTTGACAAGTTTAGAGGCAAAGGTTCTAAATTGTCAAGGCTATATGATAGACCGTTATTTACACATGTTTTTACCCTCGTTCTTACACCGTTTGAGGTGTTGATTCTCGTGTTTTAGGCCGATTTCACGCTAGGTTGTGCTTGTTTGTGATATTTCAGGTCCTAGTACGTGAATGGAGGCTTGGGAGCGAGTCTGGGGTCGATTGGACGAAGATCGGACGAATGGCGAGATTTCAAGGAAGCTGCACGGGCAGACCATGGCATCGCACGGCCGTGCGCAGTACAATCCAGGCCGTGCGTAATTCTGCGAGAGCATACACGGGCAGGCCAGACTTCGCACACGGCCGTGCCATTGAGCGCCCTGGCTGTGTGATTTCTGCCGAGGCCGAGCACGGGCAGGCTAGATTCCTCACACGGCCGTGCAACCCTGGTCGTGTGAGATGGCTGAAGGTCGACTAATTGATGCGCCGCGTTTTGAGCTACACGGCCAAGTGGGTGATCGGCACGGCCGTGCGGCCTGGCCGTGCGAGTCGGGGAATCCTGGTTTTAGAGCCTATTCCGAGCCAAAAGTGGGAGGATCGAGTTTTCAGAGCGATAACAGAGCCCTAGAGAGAGAAAGTGCGAAGAACACATCCTAGAAGCTATCTCGGAGCTGGGTTTCGTTGAATCGAGCTTGGAGATCGTCATAGGAGTGGAAATCATCATCCCGGAGCAGATTTTCCTCATCGTTATGAGTATGACTACTCCGATTACTGTTTTCTCTTCTCTCTCTATGGAGTAGAACCCTTCTCTCACTTGGGTATGAAGAACCCTAGTTCCTGGTGTTAGGGATTTGATTGTAATGACTTGGGATGATAGTACTGTTTGATTTTAATCGAATGATGCATGTTTATTGAATTGATTTGAGTCTGATCAGCTTTTCTCGATTTCTGCTGCAACCTGAGATAAATAGAATCTGATTAGGTTGTTAGAGTCTCTTCATTCGATAGTAGGAGATCGGCTATACGAGAGTTAGCCATTTTACTGCTTTGTACTGGAATTCAATTCCAGTAGTAGAGTTCTGTGCTTATTGCTTCAGCTTTCTATCCCGGTGAAGACTAGTCGTCTGCCGGGTAGCTAGACTGAGAGGGCTTGGTCAGCTTAAGAGATTCCAAGCTACTGTCGGAGCTTCCGCAGTCTAATCAACAGTAAATCAACCCAGGGGAATTACAATTGAACCTAACTAAGGGGCTAGGGGGACTCAATCCCGAGTGACTCTT